GGATGGAAATCAAATAAAATGAAAGTGATAAAATCATCTGATTGAAATTCTGGGAATGATGGCAGATCGGCTTTAAATTGAACTTCTTTTTCTCCTACGCCTGTCTTTAATCTTGAAACTGAATGGTAAATACGTTCTGGACAGTATTTTTCTACTATTCTAGGGCGTATCATCGAATGTGAACATCCTGTGTTAAGGGTGGATTTTGAATTTTGATGTAGGGTAAAGAGTTGTCAAGATCGGAATGGATTTCGATTATGTTTTGTGGGTGCCTTGGCCCTTGTAATAAAAATTTGGGTTTGATTCATGATTTGTGGACGAAGAGGCAGAAGCGTGTTGATCTTCAACGTTTTGAGTTTTTGAAAATGGTTTTGGATTTCTGGTTGTTTCGGGTTGTCTGGTTTTATAATTTTCGTCGTTATGAGTGTCATCTATTTGATATAGTTCTTCCACAATGAAATTTCTGGGTCCCGAGGGCTGAAAATGATTTTGTCTTTGGGGATAGTTCGGTTTGTAAGTATTTCTGGTTGAAACTGACATAGGCTGTGGGGAATTATTCGGTACTGTTCCCCTGGGCTTGAAGACGTTCGTGTTTCTGGGTGGTCCAAAAACTTCTCGATTTGTTGGATAGCGTTTTTGAAAACTAGACTTGGGAAATTATTCCGGTTTCTGTCAGCTGGAAAGGTTTGTGGAGGTCGATAGCTTTGTTGAAAATTCGACTGATGAGGTGCTTGATATTTTTGATAATGAAAATTCTGATTTGGTGCCTGATGTCGGCAATTGTTATTATTTGAATTTCTAAACTTTGCCTGTGGTTTGGAATATGAATTTTGTGTGTTACTACATGGAGTTTTTGAATGATTTGAGGATTTGAAAATGTTTTGCGTATACTGGAAGTTTTCTTCGTCGATAATATATGCCATTGCTTCTTCTAAGGACGAAGGATTTTTCAAACGAATAACTGTTTGTAAAGGTCCTGATAATCCGCGCACAAAAGCTCTCAAACGGATACCATCGTACTGCTTCATCATTGCGACTTTTACTTCGGGCGTTGCGTCTGAAATACTCAATTTCTGGGCAAGAGTAACAGGTGGGCTGAAAATTCCGTATCGTTTCAATGAAAAAATATTTTTTTCGTCAAAATTCGCTTTTATTATTCAACATAGTTGCCTTCAAGGGCTATACAGCGATTATAACGTTCTTCAAGTTTTTCGATACCCTTCCGGTAGTAATCCTTCGGCTTGTCCTCAAAATAGGCTTCAGTTTCGGCGATGATTTCTTCGTTGCTGTGAAATTTTTTTCCGGTGAGCATTCTCTTAAGGTCTGAGAAGAGGAAATAGTCGCTTGGAGCAAGGTCCGGAGAATACGGTGGATGGGGGAGCAAATCGAAGCCCAATTCATGCAATTTCGACATCGTTTTCATGGACTTGTGGCACGGCGCATTGTCCTGGTGAAACAAGATTTTTTTTTTCTTCATTTGTGGCCGTTTCTTGGCGATTTCGGCCTTCAAACGCTCCAGTAACACTATATAATAGTCGCTGTTGATAGTTTGGCCCTTTTGAAGATAGTCGATGAAAATAATTCCTTGCACGTCCCAGAAAACAGAGGCCATAACCTTGCCTGCTGACTGTTGCGTCTTTCCACGTTTCGGAGGTGGTTCGGATGCAGCCGTCCACTCGGCCGACTGGCGATTTGACTCCGGTGTGTAGTGGTGGAGCCATGTTTCATCCATGGTGACGTATCGGCGAAAAAAATCGGTTTTATTGCGCAAAATCACCTCCAAACAGGCCTCAGAGTCGTCGATGCGTTGTTGCTTTTGGTCAAATGTGAGATTGCGCGGCACCCATTTCGCACAGAGCTTTCGCATATCCAAATATTCATGAATGATGTGACTGACACGTTCTTTTGATATGTTTAAGGCCTCAGCTATGTCAATCAACCGTATTTTGCGGTCTCCCAAAATTATTTTGTGGATTTTTTTCACGTTTTCGTCCGTAACGACCTCTTTTGGGCGTCCACTGCGTGCGTCGTCTTCAGTTGACATGTGACCGGTACGAAATTTAGCAAACCACTTGCGAATGGTTGCTTCGCCCGGGGCAGAGTCCGGATAACACTCATCAAGCCATTTCTTGCATTCGACGGCACTTTTTTTCATCAAAAAATAATGTTTCATTAACACACGAAACTCTTGACTTTCCATGGTTTTCAAAAATAACAAAAGTAGCGTCACTCTCGATACGATAACTCAAAAACTAATGATCCGACAGCTGTCAAATTTTGACAGGCATCTTTTGAAGGTTGGTACTAGCTAAGAAGCGTATGGATTTTATTCTGGTGGCGCCATCTCATAGAAACGATACGGACTTTTCAGCCCACCTGTTACTACTCAAAATTTGGAGTCTTTTTCCAAAATCTAAGGGTGACTCATTTCTATATGGTGAGGATAGAAATAGATCTTGTTCCAAGCATTCTAAACTTCTATTATCACCAAAACACTGCTCTAAAGCATCTTTTATTAAAGACCAGCTATTTAATTCTGTTCTACAGCTAACTAAAAGTTAGCCCTACCAACTAATTTAGTGTGTACCACTCTCAATAAGTATCTCTTGATCGTTTCTTCAGAAGTGTTGAATGTGTCGAATACATAATCACATGATGAAATGAAGCTTGGTAGTGTATTGATATTACCATAAAAATTTGGTATTGTATCTACAAACATGCGTAACATTTGTAAGCTATTTTCTGGGGATGCCATTTCTTCTGATTCTGAATCAGTATTATTAATTCTTAAGTGATTTAGTTCGCTGATAATGTCTGGTAATGACATAAAATCACAACTTTTCAATTAAGATCTCCTATACAGGGAAATCAATTTGGATGAGACGAAAAGGAATTTTGGCTCTTACCTTCTACTCCTATCTTCTTGGAAGGCGGCAGGCAGAAGCAAGTGGCCAACTTCTCGCTCTTGGGCTGTGGATTCTTTGTTCGTTGCTGTAGGTCGAACGCCGAAGGGACGATACCCACGTTTTCACGAAACCGGTCACGATACCGCGAATTTTCGGAAAACTGCGTTAAATCGTACTGGATGACTGCGCCAGATATGTTGCCGAAATGGCCGTTCGGTTTTTTAAAAATTTTATTTTACTTTACAAAACTAACTTGAAATATTTTACACCGGGTGATTCTCTATAACCTTTTTATTATTGAAGATAGAAAAGCAAAATTTGAGGGTTGTGTATTATAGATAAATTTACTTTTTTTGACATATTCACTTGCTTTGACATACTTCCGGTTTGACCGGAAACGACTCCAACTTTCGATTTTTAAATGGGACACCCTATATATTTTTACTGATTTCGATCAAGAATGACATTCTGAACTCAACATCGACTTACTTGTTAATATTTGGCAAAGTCATTTTTATTTTAATTTTTATTTTTTTAGTAACACGGGGAAATACGATTTTGAGGCGAACGACCTTACAGTCGTTTTAAAGATTTTCTCAAAGTTACAAACACTAATTTTTTCAGTTTACTTATTTAACACTACACACTCTTATTTTATTTTCACTATTTTTCTGAATAATTGTAGGAAATGATGATACCTAACAACAAATAATGTGTATCTGCATTCAGTATACCTATGCACTAAGTCCTATTACTCTAGTTACCCGTGACAAACAATTGAATGTGTTGCTTTCAAAACACAAAATGTGCAATGAACCAGAAGTTAAAATGTGAAGAAAAATAAATAGACGTGTTGGCCTATATTGGAGTAAACTATACAAATTAATTACATACCCTTTCATTATTATAACAAGAAATATTTTTTTTCAAATTCATTCGATTTTGTTCAAATTTAGAAATGGTATGTATTAAGGGCAGTAAGGGGCTCATTTGGCCCTAATTAGATTGAAATTAGTAGAGTCTAGTGGGGTCTCAAGAAACACCCCAACCAATCTCTGATAAAAAATGTATGACCACTGACTTTTTCAATTTTTGCATGTTTTTGATAATTTAAGTTACACGGAAGTCGTCTTTTGATTTTTTTCCTCAGATTATACCTGCTTTCGATAAAACAAATAATCATAAAATATTTTCATAACGTTATTTATTGATGCAAAAAATCGAGCCGGAAAAACGTCTTTTCAGAACTACACTTATGGCCGTATTCACCATTTCCTAACAGACTGTTAAATTATTTAACACATTGTTAAATCCATTTTTAGTATTCACCATCAACACATTGAAGTCATGGATAAGTTAACAGCGCGATGTTGGACTGGTAAACCACTAACTGACTGATTAATACTAAAAAGTCAAAAGTGTCATCCCGACTTTATTTTGCCTGGAGATTTCGTAGAAGTGATTTACAAAATACAGTCAGCAAACAGCGAGTAAGGGCTTGGTTTGTATAAGTATCAAAATGGATAGCCTCAGTAGAATTGATATTATCGACATATTAGAATCTTCGGAAACAGACACGAGTGACATTGAAGATGTCCCGAGAGAAAGAATTGTAAGAACTAGGAGGTTTCCCTTGATTGAAATAGATGATTTGGAGTTCAAAAGAAGATTTAGAATAAATAAAAGTACATTTAGGCGACTGGAAACTGTTGCAAAATGTTACAGAACTGATAAATGAAAGGAACCAGCCAATCTCAAAAGAAAGCCAAATCTTGATATGGGGGCTAAAACTTGAAACTATGTGTGAGGTTATTGTGGCAACTGCTGTGCTGCACAACATGTCCTTAGAACAAAATGACACTATCGATTTTTTTGAGAATGGACCTGAAATGGAACAAATTGAAGAGATCCAGGTACGAATTGGATCTCAAAATACTGCAACAAGAGACTCAATAATTTCATCAATTTTTATGTTGTCATGAAAAAATTAATTATCATGTAAATATTTATGTCTGCAAGGTGTTTAGCAGTTCAAAATAAAATTCTTATGTAAATTATTTTATGAATATTACATTCAATATGGATAACTTTGCCTATAAGTTATCATCGGCACTTGTATCTTCATGGGAACAGATATAGTAATTCAATTTAGTGATAAATACTTCATATACTCTTATTTAATATAACTAAAGGGAACTTTTTCATCAGATGTAGAAGTTCGAGGAATAGATACCCCACTATCCGTTTTTAACAAATTCACCTGAAAAAAAGAGAACAAGTTAATTTCTTTCTCCAAATCCTGTGAAAATAATGATACCTTGTCTTCAGATTTAGGTTGTTTTGCTTTTTAGCTGTTGGCCAGTTCTGGCAGTTGTTTGAATGGAATACCAGGCAAGCTTCTCCCAACAATGATTTTTCTGCCTGTTAAATACCAAGTTAGTCTTTTTGTTTTTTTGTCAAGAGGCTCCAACTTAAAGAAATTTAAGATTTTTGTATGACAGTTTGTTATCAGAACACGAAAAGTCTTGGTGAGTACCACTATTGTTAAACAGACTGTTATATTTTGTACAACTGATAAGTAACAGACTGGCAAACTCCGAATTGGTGAATACGGCTGTTAAACATTTATTTCAATGAAAACATTTAACAGTAAATAACGCGAGACTTATAATAGTCTCTGAAAATGCTATCCTTAACATTCATTGCCGAACTCGTTGAAATGTTCCCACCGTCTTTTCTGATCCCATGCATCTCGTATAGTTGGATTAATTCTTCTTCAGCGTTGACTGGAGTTTTGTTAACAGGGGACTTTAAATGTCCCCAAAGAAAAAATCTAACGGACCTAAATCCGGTGACCTGGGTGGCCATGACTGTGGACTTGGGTGCCCGATTCAGATTTCTCCAAAAATTGTCACAGATATTGGTTAGGGACGCCACTGGACTTGATAATTTCAGTCTAATTGGGGCTAAATTAGCCCCTTACTGCCCTTAATACCACTGCTAAATTTAAACAGAATCGACCGAAAGTTTATCAAGATATTTATGAAAAACTGATTTAAAAAAAAAAATGACACCTCTCTATCTGGAAAAAGAAGCATTTCTGCACCTATGTTTATACGAGTATATTTTGAGATGCGCATTAACTGTACTAGCTAAAACCGGCAACAGTGCACTATTAGAAAGAGCAGTCGTTTATTAGTAAGTCGCCGCCAATGACGTCTTACCCAAATAGACCCTGCAAGTGATTCATAAGTCCCCCGTTTGTTATATTCGCGAACCTCAGTGACGGAAAATACCAACTTTCATAATTTTATGAAATTGGCCCCAGGCTTGGAACAGCACAACGCTCAAGGTCAACTCCGCAATTCCCACCATATTCGTAACACAATGTGGGCCATAAAGGGCTATAAAAGCCAATAAAGTTCTCAGTATATTGGAGGTACAAAAAACGTCTTTCTTGTAGGTATAGTATTATGAAGGTGACCATACGTCTCACTTTCGGACGCTGCCCTACTGTTCCTGACAAAAGCATGGGGACGAAAAATTTCCTACTTTTTCCAAATCATACGGAATACGTACAATTTTTGAACGACATTGTTAGACACCACTCTCCCCTCCCCCGCTCTTCAAAATTCTAATAATCGGCCATCAATGTAAAAAATGAAGTGTGCTTACACATTGTGCTTTCATTTTATGATTGTAAACAAAAATAGCAAAATGTGTGCCTTTTGTGGTAGGTACTAGACCCCAATTTAGAGTAATAATATATATATATATATATATATAACTTGAGACGTGGTCATTGTCGTCTAGACCAGTTAGGTGAAAAATTAAAGCTTCCGCTTTTTGTTGGGTACTTCGACAAGATTTAAGCAAAGAGGACTCTTTATACTTTTTTTAATTCTCTCTAGCTTTCAATGGACTTTGCCATCATCATCAGGAGCTGTAATTACAATGATAACAGTAGCAACAAAGGTGTAAAATGAATTTAAATTGACTCAACTTACAGTAGTATGTGAGAATGTTGCTAATTGTTGTTTTCGTATAGGATGAGGGAAACGTCCAGTAACAAGGTGAGAGCTGAATAGGTTGCACAATAGTCAAAATTTATACAAAACATGACAAGAACACGTTAAAAACAGATTAAAAATTATTTTAAAAAATTAGAACATTACATCGTGAAACCACCTGATGATTGCACAAATTAGTGGTCATGGAATGATGAATTGATGAGTGACATGAAACCCTTTGACAGAAGGCCGAAGGATGTCAATGTCAGTATTGAAAGATGGAACGAATTGTGGGCGTGTGCCAAAAACGTTGCCAAATCACTTCAGATGAAGAGATTTTCAGAATTTTATGATGGAATTTGTTAAACCGACCAGAGGCAGTTGAATAAACTATATTATTATTAATGGGAATTTAAATTAACAATTATTAATAAATCGTGAGGAGAGAATTATTATATTTTGAGTGGAATGAAATTTACTGGTGGAAACGGCCAAAACACAGATTCTAATTATGGTTGTGAAGAGTTGAAATTTGGGGAGATATGTAAGTTCTCCAATTTTTCGCAGTTTAGCAAATATGAGTAAATGACACTCAGTTGTTTAACATCTGTCTTTTTGTTGATACAGTTGTTATTCATGAAAATGTGGGACATTTCCAGGAATAAACGTTTGGAAAGGTGTTTTTCTTTATCAAGAACTTTGATACTTGTGTAATTCATAGAATGCCCTGTTGTGTTAACATGAGATGCTAGAGCGCATCTTTCAGGATGAAGCCTAGCATCACTTTTGTGTGATGTAATCCTTCCTTTAAGAGATCTGGAGGTTTGACCTATGTATATTTGGTTGCAGTTGTTGCAATTGATGGAGTAGACTGTGTTGGTTAAGCCAAGCAGCGGGACTTTGTCTTTCATTTTTGAAAAAATGCAGTTTATAGTGAGGACGGATTTGCAAGCAATTCGAAAGTTCAAAGGACTGCACAATCTGATCAGCTTAGGGGTCAGTTCCTTGATGTAGGGCAGGACAGCAAAACCAGGTCTGGAGTCCGGGTTGGTGCTAGTACTGTTAGGATTGATGTTATTATTGGGAATTACATCAGTTCCGTTATTAGGGGTTGTGCGACTATTACCTGCATCACCAGAGTTCGGCAAAATATTGGAAGGTGAACTAAAAATGATCTTGTTAATCAGACACTTCGGATAACCATTATTGATGAACAGTTTTGATAGTTTACGTAAATTTGAGGTGTGGAAGGTATTATCTGAGATGCTGATTACCCTTGTTTTCATCTGTTTTACCAAATTGATTTTAATCCCTAGCTTATGGTATGACCTAAAATTGAGAAACCGACCTGAGGCCATAGGTTTCTGGTACCAGTCTACCAATAAACTGTTGTTGTTGGTGCGAATGAGTCTTGTGTCTAGAAAGGGGACAGACAGGTTCTCATCTTCTTTTTCAATGGTAAATTGGATGTAGGGGTCATAGCTGTTGAATTCTCTGACAATACCATCCAGACCTATGGAAGGGAGGCATAAAATAATGTCATCTACGTATTTTTTTATGAAGAAGAGGTTATAGGGTAGTGTCGGAATAACTGTATCAAGCAGATCATCCATGACATATTCCGCCAAAATTGGTGACAGAACAGATCCCATAGGACAACCATGTGTTTGAGAATATATTTTGTTGTTGAAAGAGAAATAGTTGTTATGAAAAAGGAATGTTATAATGTTGGTGAAAGATTCTAGAGATATGTTGCAGTGTTGACTTATCTCATTCCAGTGTTTATTAATAGTTCTTGTACATGCATCCAGATAGATGTTGCTGAATAGCGACACCACATCAAGACTGGCGATAATATGATCGGCTGGTATTGTCAATCTATTGAACTGACGAGAGACCTCAAATGAGTCTTTGATGTAGTAATCATTGTCTGCATGTGCTGATTTTAGTGTTGTCGATATTAATGAAGACAAAGCCTGGGTGGCTGAACCTATTGATGCAACTATAGGTCTTACTGAGAGTACAGGTTTGTGAATTTTCGGAAGTGCATAAAATTTGGGAGGGACAGAGTTATAAGTAGTCAAAGTTCTTTTTTGTTCTTGGGTTATTTGTCCAGTGCTGAGGAGTTCCTTAACAATGTCATTACTTTTCTTTTCCACTTTAAGTGTGGGATCTTTATTAATTTCATGATATGATGGGTCATCATTGATGAGATTGTTGCAAAGATCTAAATAGTGTTGTTTAAGCATTATCACTGTAACATTGCCTTTGTCAGATCTTGTAACCATAAGTTCAGGATGTTGTTTTAGAAATGTTCTAGTTATGTTTAAAAGGTTGTGATAAAAGGAATGTTTTTTATTAAGATTGTTATTATGATAGTAGTTAGTGATGAGGTTAGTGGAACGAGTTGTGAAAATGTTTCTTTCAGTGTCATCACTTATGGAGGATGCTATTGTGTCTACATCCGCTAAGATTGATCTGATTGGAATGTCATTGTTAACAATCGGCTCTACACTGAACTTAGGCCCTAAGGAAAGAAATTTTAATATGTCATGAGGGATGTCAACGTTACTGAGATTTTTTATCCAATTTTGTTGAGTGTTGAGGAAGGTTTTTTTGGTGTCATTCAACAATCTGTCAAACTTACGAGTGTTGGAGTTTTTTATGTTATGAAAGATTTTATTGTAATGTCTGAGTTGTCTATATTTGAAATTATCAAAAATTAAGGGAGAAGTGGAAGAAATTATGTCACTTTGGAGTGAATTGAGTATGGAATGAAGTTTTTTCAACTGTCTGTGGCAGGAAGATATCTCAAGCGTGAGTATTTTGTCACCTAACCTGTGCAGACGATTTTTCATCCCATCTTCTATTGAATGGCTTTCTAGTAAGTGTGTGATTGATGTTAAACGGTGGGTGATGTGATGTGGTGTAATGCCATGTTATTTATTTTCTTATTAAAATGTAGAAAACATGGCATTACACCACATCACATCACCCACCGTTTAACATCAATCACACACTTACTAGAAAGCCATTCAATAGAAGATGGGATGAAAAATCGTCTGCACAGGTTAGGTGACAAAATACTCACGCTTGAGATATCTTCCTGCCACAGACAGTTGAAAAAACTTCATTCCATACTCAATTCACTCCAAAGTGACATAATTTCTTCCACTTCTCCCTTAATTTTTGATAATTTCAAATATAGACAACTCAGACATTACAATAAAATCTTTCATAACATAAAAAACTCCAACACTCGTAAGTTTGACAGATTGTTGAATGACACCAAAAAAACCTTCCTCAACACTCAACAAAATTGGATAAAAAATCTCAGTAACGTTGACATCCCTCATGACATATTAAAATTTCTTTCCTTAGGGCCTAAGTTCAGTGTAGAGCCGATTGTTAACAATGACATTCCAATCAGATCAATCTTAGCGGATGTAGACACAATAGCATCCTCCATAAGTGATGACACTGAAAGAAACATTTTCACAACTCGTTCCACTAACCTCATCACTAACTACTATCATAATAACAATCTTAATAAAAAACATTCCTTTTATCACAACCTTTTAAACATAACTAGAACATTTCTAAAACAACATCCTGAACTTATGGTTACAAGATCTGACAAAGGCAATGTTACAGTGATAATGCTTAAACAACACTATTTAGATCTTTGCAACAATCTCATCAATGATGACCCATCATATCATGAAATTAATAAAGATCCCACACTTAAAGTGGAAAAGAAAAGTAATGACATTGTTAAGGAACTCCTCAGCACTGGACAAATAACCCAAGAACAAAAAAGAACTTTGACTACTTATAACTCTGTCCCTCCCAAATTTTATGCACTTCCGAAAATTCACAAACCTGTACTCTCAGTAAGACCTATAGTTGCATCAATAGGTTCAGCCACCCAGGCTTTGTCTTCATTAATATCGACAACACTAAAATCAGCACATGCAGACAATGATTACTACATCAAAGACTCATTTGAGGTCTCTCGTCAGTTCAATAGATTGACAATACCAGCCGATCATATTATCGCCAGTCTTGATGTGGTGTCGCTATTCAGCAACATCTATCTGGATGCATGTACAAGAACTATTAATAAACACTGGAATGAGATAAGTCAACACTGCAACATATCTCTAGAATCTTTCACCAACATTATAACATTCCTTTTTCATAACAACTATTTCTCTTTCAACAACAAAATATATTCTCAAACACATGGTTGTCCTATGGGATCTGTTCTGTCACCAATTTTGGCGGAATATGTCATGGATGATCTGCTTGATACAGTTATTCCGACACTACCCTATAACCTCTTCTTCATAAAAAAATACGTAGATGACATTATTTTATGCCTCCCTTCCATAGGTCTGGATGGTATTGTCAGAGAATTCAACAGCTATGACCCCTACATCCAATTTACCATTGAAAAAGAAGATGAGAACCTGTCTGTCCCCTTTCTAGACACAAGACTCATTCGCACCAACAACAACAGTTTATTGGTAGACTGGTACCAGAAACCTATGGCCTCAGGTCGGTTTCTCAATTTTAGGTCATACCATAAGCTAGGGATTAAAATCAATTTGGTAAAACAGATGAAAACAAGGGTAATCAGCATCTCAGATAATACCTTCCACACCTCAAATTTACGTAAACTATCAAAACTGTTCATCAATAATGGTTATCCGAAGTGTCTGATTAACAAGATCATTTTTAGTTCACCTTCCAATATTTTGCCGAACTCTGGTGATGCAGGTAATAGTCGCACAACCCCTAATAACGGAACTGATGTAATTCCCAATAATAACATCAATCCTAACAGTACTAGCACCAACCCGGACTCCAGACCTGGTTTTGCTGTCCTGCCCTACATCAAGGAACTGACCCCTAAGCTGATCAGATTGTGCAGTCCTTTGAACTTTCGAATTGCTTGCAAATCCGTCCTCACTATAAACTGCATTTTTTCAAAAATGAAAGACAAAGTCCCGCTGCTTGGCTTAACCAACACAGTCTACTCCATCAATTGCAACAACTGCAACCAAATATACATAGGTCAGACCTCCAGATCTCTTAAAGGAAGGATTACATCACACAAAAGTGATGCTAGGCTTCATCCTGAAAGATGCGCTCTAGCATCTCATGTTAACACAACAGGGCATTCTATGAATTACACAAGTATCAAAGTTCTTGATAAAGAAAAACACCTTTCCAAACGTTTATTCCTGGAAATGTCCCACATTTTCATGAATAACAACTGTATCAACAAAAAGACAGATGTTAAACAACTGAGTGTCATTTACTCATATTTGCTAAACTGCGAAAAATTGGAGAACTTACATATCTCCCCAAATTTCAACTCTTCACAACCATAATTAGAATCTGTGTTTTGGCCGTTTCCACCAGTAAATTTCATTCCACTCAAAATATAATAATTCTCTCCTCACGATTTATTAATAATTGTTAATTTAAATTCCCATTAATAATAATATAGTTTATTCAACTGCCTCTGGTCGGTTTAACAAATTCCATCATAAAATTCTGAAAATCTCTTCATCTGAAGTGATTTGGCAACGTTTTTGGCACACGCCCACAATTCGTTCCATCTTTCAATACTGACATTGACATCCTTCGGCCTTCTGTCAAAGGGTTTCATGTCACTCATCAATTCATCATTCCATGACCACTAATTTGTGCAATCATCAGGTGGTTTCACGATGTAATGTTCTAATTTTTTAAAATAATTTTTAATCTGTTTTTAACGTGTTCTTGTCATGTTTTGTATAAATTTTGACTATTGTGCAACCTATTCAGCTCTCACCTTGTTACTGGACGTTTCCCTCATCCTATACGAAAACAACAATTAGCAACATTCTCACATACTACTGTAAGTTGAGTCAATTTAAATTCATTTTACACCTTTGTTGCTACTGTTATCATTGTAATTACAGCTCCTGATGATGATGGCAAAGTCCATTGAAAGCTAGAGAGAATTAAAAAAAGTATAAAGAGTCCTCTTTGCTTAAATCTTGTCGAAGTACCCAACAAAAAGCGGAAGCTTTAATTTTTCACCTATATATATATATATATATATATATATAATATAAAAATAATGCCTCCTCTCCACGCTCTTCAGTGTGGTTCTCGGAAATTGTCCTGACATTACCAATGATATAAATAAAGCAAAATCCCTTACCCTACCCCCGCTCCCCAAGGTCAAAAGTAACTTATGTGCTATTCCAGACTATAATCTATCTCTGAACCAAATTTCATCCATATCCGTTCAGCCATTTTGGCGTAACTGAGTAACAAAGACACATCCGTTTTGTCGCATTTACACTATTATTATTAGTACGATACATTCCGTCTGCTCCATATAAGGATTTTACCATAAAGTAATCTCAGTTGCCGTGGCAGAAAACGAACGAATAGCTGAGGATGTCAGGTTGACATTTCGCCGCGTCATGGCCAACTGAGATTTGAGCAGTTTTGGCTGTAACTCTTGAAATATATATATATATATAAGTTCTTTCACAGGATAAAATATAGCCTATGTGCTATTCCAGGCTATAATCTATCTGTGTGTCATCTATCTGTGTATAGCAAAAATATCTTTGTCAATTTTAAAATTAATCTGTATTGGTGTTTGAATGAAACAGTTTTAGTGTAAATGCTCCTTACTCTATCCCCTTGGTTTAACTTTTTTTGGATGATTCGTAATGATGCCTAACCCGAAAATATTTTTTTAGTATTATTTTCACCAAAGATGATCAAAATAATCAAATACCTTGGAGAGTATCACTCTATATGTTCCATTAACTAAAAGTGCTATTAGATTTCTTATTGTTTTATTATGTATGCCTGTCGTTTTGTCAAATAATCTAAAGTATTTTTTGCCTTCTTTACAAATGACGCACACCACGCCAATGAGTAGAATCGTAAACATAACCTTACCTGTGAAAAGATATCCCTTCACTTCCTGCTTTGCCAGCCTCAACCTTACACAAAAAACACTTTTATTTCACCATAATTTAATAAAAGTCTAAAGAACACTTAAAAATACAAGAAAATCAAACGTATAACACACGAATAAAAGCGAATTTCAAACAAAATAAAAGTGACAGGCGATGACTCACTCTACTACAACCAATTGCAGCGTTGCCGTATATAAACGTTAATCAGAAATATGCAGAAAATATTGTTTGTATTCTACCTGGATTTGTATTAAAATTCGCGTATTCCTCACTTGTTCTATAAAATATTATAGGTGTATAAGAATATACATAAATTTCTTCTAGAAGAATTTTTCTGCAACAGAAATAGGTCATTTGGCTAGTTGTGGATACCATGGGGCCAATATCAAAGCCGCCGTAGGGCCAACTTATTTGGCGACATCGCAAAAAGTTGTTTCGAGAGAGTTATCGCGTTATGATTTACCATGAGCTTAAAGCCGGTTTTGCTGAACATCAATGAATTGAACGGTTACAACAGGCATTTGGTAATGATGTTGCGTCCCGGGCAAGTGTGTTTCACTGGTATGCCGAATTTAATAGAGGACGTGTTTTAGTGGCTCATGAAGAACATAGTGGTAGGCCATATTCTAGTGTGACTCCAGAAAACATTGCTAAAGTTGAGCGGCTAATTGAAGAAGATTCTCGTTGCACATATGCGACTATAGAGGCAACTGTTGGAGTAGGATCCGCAACAGTGCACACCATTTAGCATGATCATCTTCATTTAAAAAAAGTTATTGCAAGATGGGTGTCACATCAAAATGCTAGAACGTCCGCCTTATTCGCCAGATTTGGCAATATGTGACTTCTGGCTCTTCAACAATTTGAAAAAAATCTGCGTGGTCGAAAATTTTCGTCCGAAGAGGAAATCGATCAAGCAATTAATCAGTTTGTTGAAGGCATTCCAAAAACTGACTGGTTAGACGCATTTCATTTGTGGAAGGTTAGGTTACAGAATGAACTAATTTTCAAAAATAGTTTTTAGCTTTCGTGTATCTCAAAATATATAGCGTGGCCGTCTTATAAACTTTTTATCTTAAAATTACCAAAAGATTCACCTCCTGAAGTTTGGCCACGTACTCAAATAACACCCTGTATAATTTCAATTTTTTTCTTTCCTACATTTAGATTCCGTGATGCATCTCTAATGGCATTTGGTTCAATCCTTGGCGGTCTTGAGAACAATACCCTGAAGCCATTGGTCGAGCAAGCTATGCCTACGTTAATCGAGCTGATGTACGACAGTAGCGTCATCGTAAGGGATACGGCAGCCTGGACATTTGGAAGGATAAGCGAGATCATCCCTGAAGCCGCCATTAACGAAACTTACTTGAAACCATTGCTGGAGAGTCTTATTACAGGTAACGTAATTCTTATTTTATATACTCAAGGATTTGCATTTTTTTATTTGTCCAAACAAATCTTTGTGAGATTATTACATTCATGAGATGTATCGTTCCATTTAATGATCTGTTTTCTACAATTCGGAAAAAATGAGCAAATGAAAATTTCGTTCGAATATTTGATTTGTTTCACAACCAATCATTTTCGTAGGCGGATGTTGATCAAGATACTACCAGGGCATAGGTGGGTCATGCTCAGTGCTGTTTTTTTTTTTCAAGTCCAGATTCCATTTTGGAGACGAAATACATAATTAATTTGATTAACGATCAATAAATCTTGTTGCAAAGAATTTCGGGGAACATTTCAAATTATTGGCAAGAGTTCCCATTGGGTTTCTTTTGCTGCAGAGCGATTGCATGAACGTCTTTGTAATGTTGTACCATTGATTGATGTTTGTTTCAAGAAGATGCCCAACCATATGCTGTTATTGAAAGTTTATAAACTATTGGCATCGTCACAGGTTCCTAAGTAGAAGTAATAAAAACATACTCTATTTTCCTTATAAACAAAACAATCACGACATCAAGTTTCCAAAGAAGTATCACCTGTAAACCTGCCGCGTAATTATTCCTAAGATTTCGTATTTTCAGAATTTCTCAAGGAGAGGGACTGAAATCTAATTCGAGAGGTGGCAATATTTACACCACAAACTTATTTTATGCTATACTCAGCATGTAAAGATATCATTGCCCTATAATCTCCTGAATATACTATAAGGGAATGCTTTAAAATAAAAAGGAAAGAACGCTCAAATATTTAGGCATATATTTGGACTCTTAAAACATAAAGTGGAATGTGCATATAGATTATTTGGTTGGGAAGCTGAGGTTTTTGGATTATAAAATAAGACATCTAAAGCAGTATCTATTTCACAGCTTAGGATAATATACTATGCCTTAATATCTTATACCTTATATCAGTGTGGGGTTTGGCTAACAAAAACCATCTAAATCAACTTGAAATAATGCAAAAACAAATATCCAAAATAATACATAACCTACTAAAAACATATCCGACAGATGAACTATCTAGAAAGTATGAGTTTTTGGACATAGACAACTCTGTCTCTACAGCCTTGCAATAATAGATCAATATAAAAACAAAATAATTGTGCTATGTTACTTATACGTACCAAACGAGAAACAGAAAAGACTTGGCTAGAGTAGCAACACCACAAAAAAACTTTTTTTTGAGGCCATATACTTTCTTAGCTCCTAGATCGTTCAACATCATTTCTTCTGAAATAGAATGTATAAGAAATTTGAATTAATTTAAAAAAAGAGGTGGGTCCTATGTATAACTCTAATAACATCAAGAAATTGATTTAAAACATACTCTCTTATTTAATTTCTGGTTTGATGTTTTAATTGTGATTGTATACTTAAATGGTGATTTTTCAACGAACTGGGAATGCTATTTACCTGATGTGGATAATTTATATTATGGACATGCTATGTTACATTATTGAGTCTTATTTTTATATTTAATGCTATTCACTCACGTATAAGGAGGAGTATTCCTTCCTGTGGGACTCTCATTTATTTGCTTATTTCAGTAATGAATTGTGCGAATAAATTATACTACTAGATTACAAGACGTAGGTTGTTAGCATAAGCTCAGGTCCTGCTATAAATTGAATTGGTTATATTCTGGGGATAATCAATGGTTTTACTGTATCTTGGATTTGGATATGGTTCAGAACCTCAATGGTATTTCTACATTCAGGTCTAAAGGCAGAGCCTCGCGTCGCCGCCAACGTCTGCTGGGCATTCTCCGGACTCGCCGAAGCCGCGTACGAAGCAGCCGACGTGAACGATGACGGCCAAGTAGAAACATACATCCTTTCCCAATACTTCGAGTTTATCGTCCAACGGCTATTAGAGACGACGGATCGTTTGGATGGCGGACAGGCGAACCTGAGACCCGCAGCATACGAGGCGCTCATGGAGATGGTAAAGAACTCGCCGAAAGATTGTTACGTCACTGTGCAGAAGACTACCATGGTGATATTGGAGAGGTTGCAGCAGGTACTGCAGATGGAATCGCATATCGTTAATCATAATGAAAGGTGAGAGAATCATTGCTATTAACCAAATATCTTTTTTGTCGGAGCCTCAATCCTTAGTCCATCGAAAGAGTAGCGGCAAGATGTAACTGCGTTTGGTTGTACTTTTGAAAATATCTGGTACTTTTTTATATGTTATGATAACATCTAACAAAATTTTCATCTTACAAAAACGGCTTTGTGAATAATTACAAATTCCAGTTATGGATCAACATGTAAGAACACTTCAACATTTACAAATATCACCACTTACATCAATTTATATTTTTTGAAGTCCTAGGTGCACAAACATCTAAACAAATATCAAACCTCTGCAGAAATTCACACTCATGCACTATGTAATCCAAGGAACCCATCCTCGCGACTGAATATGACTAAAAATAATAGATCTAACGTTAAATTATTAACATTAGGTTTATTATAGCAATAAAAATATTCATATGGTCCTTTTGCTTAAGTTGCATACCATTTCCTGCTACAAAATTGTAAGACCATCACAGTTTTCTGGCTTTTCCCATAATTATTACTGATCAACTGTGAAGGTTATTTGAAATTTCATTAATCCAGAACTCAGTTACTATATTAAGCACAAAAAAGTACTTTTAAACTGGTTTGTCAGCAGCGCAGTTTGTATTGTCTCCTGAAAAAATTAAACTTTGTGACTTCGAGGTTTTTGCAATGACCAATTCAGTTATACACATCAACGATTACTACGCCTACAAGCTAAGTGAAGTATGCTTAGTTTGGTAGATGTCATCTGAACGGACCTCAATCAAAATTTTGAAAACTAGCAGATTGATTGACAGAAGTCAGCAGGTTATGCAGATAATGCTAAAAGAATTTTGAAAAAAAAACTTCAGATTTAGCATATATGTTACCTGAAAGAGATCTAGATTCAGCATTCTGCGGGTATTTCCACTATGAGAGACTTTTGCACGTACCACCTACATTTTATTTTTAGGTCCCAGTTCAACGACTTGCAGTCACTGCTGTGCGGCACTCTGCAGTCTGTCTTACGCAAAGTAACTCCCGAAGATGCTCCTCAGATTTCCGACGCCATCATGACCGCCATGTTGACCATGTTCAACTCGAACTCGTGCAAGAGCGGCGGAGTTCAAGAAGATGCTCTGATGGCTGTCTCCACCTTGGTGGAGGTGCTCGGAGAAGGCTTCATCAAGTACATGGACGCATTCAAGCCGTTCTTGTATCTGGGGCTCAAGAATCATCAGGAGTATCAGGTAGATTTTCCAAAAAAATTTTGTGAAATTGCAACTCACATTCGAAAATTCTATTTCATATTTCATTATCATTACTAAAGTTTATCCTTTTTTGGGTAGTATGCATAGGCACAGGGCAAGTCTAATGATTTATTGCACTTTCTGTATAATTCCAAAGACGAATAAAGGGTTATGGTGTATTTGAAACGATTCTGCATTCTTTTTGCCTGTTTAAAAATATACCAAATATTATCTGTCGTTTTTTGTATGTATTTTACAATGTTACTAGATAAACATATTTTGTACAGGTGTGTGGAACTGCAGTCGGTCTTACTGGTGATATATTCCGTGCACTGAAACTGAAGGTGTTGCCGTATTGTGACGAAATCATGACTTTATTATTAGAAAATTTGGGAGATCAGTCGGTAAGTAAAAAAAGCCAGATACAGTGCTTCAAATACTGTAAGATTCAACCACTATCCAAATCTGTTTTGCGAACTGGATACTCCCTATGTTCGCCTCTTTAGAAGAATATTATCACTGAGGCTCTATAGTGTATTTACACCCAAGATAGAATGGATGCGTGATTGTCAAAAGCAAGGACGGCGTACAGGGCCGCATTCAGTGCTACCACCAACGTGTTGTAAAACAAAGATGACAGTATTTAACGAAATTATCTAATATAGTGAAGTAGTAATAGTTAAAGGTGTCGCAAAATCAAAATTTTATTCTTGAAGGGGTGCTAAGTTTTTCTACAGATTTTTCAAACTAGACAACATGGAGAAATACATACCAGAGGTAACCAGCTGGTCACTATGCACAATGAATCCGTAGTCAACGAGGGGTAGAGATGACACTTTTGTACATGGAATAAATATAAGGCTGTTCAATCAATTGAAAATAGATTTTGAAGGCGCACTTCGGACTTGCATTGTCTGTAGTTTATCTGTAAGTTAATATTTCACTATAACTAGGATTCCCATAATATGTATTCTGTGACAAAACAAAAACGCGGAACTTACTCAGACTCACTTGAAGAGCTATCGTCATTAATGTTTATGATGATGGATTCAAAATCTCTCTCAATTATGTTGTCCAGCTCCCACATTGCTACCTCCACTTTCTCCTGAACATGCTGCACGCATTTTTGCCATCTTTCTGGTGTGACTCTCTGTATAGCAATTCTGAACAGCTCTTGCATGTCAGAAAATTTAAATGTTGTATTGTGTGCAGCAACAAAATTCTTAACATCTGCCCATATGAGCTCAATGGGGTTGAGCTCACAGTGGTAAGGCGGCAAACGGAGTACTGTGTTGTGGTGTGCTTTGGCCATTTCATCTATGACATATTTATCATGTTTTGGTCTGTGTTGTTTCACAATATCTAATAGTTGTAATTTCAGTAAGAAAGGGTCGAAAGTTATATTTTTGGAACGGAGCCAGATCTGAATGTCTGATTTCGTAGAAGCTGAAGTTGGGATTTTTTCTATTTTGCGAGAATGATAGGGAACATTATCCAAAACAACCACAGAATTGTCTTCGAGACGTGGTAAAATGCCTGAAAGCCACCTCTCGAATGCTTCCCCATTCATCTCTTGATGGTAGTCAGTGGTTTTTTTTTTTTGACTCAAAAGACCATAAGCCGTCATCCACGAAGCCAGCTACACCCCCAGTGTGGCAAATAATGGGCCTTTTTCCTTTGCCTAGAAAGATAAAATCCCCTAAGTACATATGCACGTCTTGTAGGTACGAAGATAGAGAGATATTGTGCGCAAAAATTGATACCGTGAACTATTTCAGTCTATTTACCTGCTGGATTTTTCAATCCGGTCGACAGTCCATCTAGAAATGCCCTTCTGGATGAAGTCACAGTTTTGTCAACCCATACCTTCGGAGTAGTGTGCCCAGCGTTAATCCAGGTTTCGTCCAGGTAATAGATCTTCCTGTGCTGATCCCTGAATGATTTAATTTTGGTCAGGTACTCTCTCCTCCACAGAACAATTTCTTCTCTATCCATAAGTAAGCTGTTACGACCTCGTTTCATCCATTCGAAATTAAGATGCTTCAAAAGTTTATGAATAGTCGAACGTTTGAAATTTGGTAACATAGCATCCTCGTTAGCCTCCCGTAGTACTTTATCAACTGTCGGTATTTCGTTTCTGAAGAAGAACTCGTGCACTTTCCTCCGAATCGCATGCTTGTCAGCGTCATCCAACGATCTTATGATACTTTTGCGATTTTTACCCGTCATTGGCTTGGAAAAGGCATGCTTTTTCTTATGTTCGTTCAAAACACTGTCGCTTGGCATACCCCAATTTTATCTGCCATTTTCAGAGCTATTTTCGGGTTAGTTGATGTTTCGTTTTCCTTCCGCTCTATCTTGAATGTATTCAATATGACGTCTTTCATGTCTACGCTAAGATGTCTTTTTTTATCGCTTTCTAGGAGGGCTAAGGGAGTAGCCTACAACCTCGTCAGCAGTATCTGTACTGGACATGTTCAGGATTGGTTCAAAACAAATAATAACGAGGAATAACAAACAGAAACTTAACAAATTACTCAAATGCACTTAACAACAACAACACCAACAATCAAGCAAGGTGAATACGAAAACACGAGCACGCAGTGATACACGCGACGGTCGGTGGCCTGAATGCAAGTCTGCCTGCCCTGCCCCTGCCCTGCGCATTATTCCGCCAGGCGACCGCTTGAAATTTAATGGCGAATTGACCAATAAGAGGCGTTGTCCCCACCTGTTACCGAGAGACCACACGCTAACTGTTATTATTTACATCTCATCTTGATTTTGGATTCAGTTTAAGTGGGCACACAATTTTAATGAGTAAAGATTCGCCAAAACAATTTGACAGCCCTATTTTATTTCTGCCTATGCACTTGCATTTTTTATTTTAACTGCTGTAGAATAACCCAAAATTGTGTTATTTTTAACATTATATCAAAGTAAGCAGTCAATGCAATTTGAACTACATAAATTGTTTTTCATATTTGTTTTTCCTCAATCATTGAAATATTATTTTCGTCATTAGGTGCATCGCAGTGTGAAGCCTCAGATTCTCTCTGTATTTGGAGATATGGTACTGAGCATCGGTCCGGAATTCAAGAAATACCTCGACGTGGTACTGCAAACGTTGGCTCAAGCTTCCCAAGCACAAGTTGATCGTAACGATTTTGACATGGTCGATTATCTGAACGAGCTTAGAGAAGGAGTACTTGACGCCTACACCAGCATCATACAAGGATTGAAAGGTATGTAATTCTGGTGTCGAAGAAAGTAAAATAGTGATTACCTTTTTGTGTTTTGATGTTTCTTACATTATCCAAGAGAAGAGACATAGTGAGTTTATATTTTATGGAAAACAAAATACATTCAGGAGCATGTCCGCAAAAGGAACAGGAGCAGAAGGATTGATAACCCGAGCGACGTTAGTTTTTGCTTATTGGCTTCATCGTGCTCAAGTGGATGTGCATTGAAAACACCAAAATGAAAACATATGCCCACCGCGTTTGGATACGAGTTTACTGAAGGAAAACAAGGATGCAAAGGGAAATACAATTAGTGTACATGTAACAAAGTTTTCACATTTCCGTGTCGGTACTTTTCGGGTGAAGACAATTTCATCGATTCGCATTCATGTTAAAATTTTCACGGAATCCTTCATAACTTAACTATTCATCAATCTGTCTTTTAGGCCCGACTTTACTATTGATTCTTGGGATCAAAATGTTTGATCGGGGTCAAAATGGACCAATGAGAATACGCCTTTGTAGTAATGGATCAAATGAATATGGTTGATTTCTTCTAAAATACCTGTCAAATTAGCGAAAAAATATACGATTTGTGAAGATAATCGCCATATTAAATAAAGAAATTCTTTATAAATCACCTGGTTTAGATACAGAAACATATTTTTTCACTTGATCAAAACCTATGATATGGATCAACAATGACCAATTAATAAGCGTCTTAGTAAAACTGGATCCAGAATTGGCAATTGGTCATTCGTGATCCAGATATATTTTCGCTAGTTTGAGAGATATTTTAGAAAAAAATCGACTATATTCGTAATAAGGAATGCAGCATTCTTTTCAGATAAATTAATAACACCCTGCAAATGCTTCCTCCTCAACTGACCTATAAATCGTGTCTTTGGAAACTGTGGTAACAATGCACATTACCATTGTTACCAGACGCTTTTTGGTTGAAATGTCGGTCAATATTATAACACAATAGTAGGTAGGGTTTGTCTGATCTAGAACGCCCTTGAGAGTCGACCTTGGGAGCCAACCTTGAACGCATATTTAACCTCGAAATGTGACCTTGACACATGGCCTTGAAATATGACCTTGAAATGTGACCTTGAAGTCGTGAGTGGTAGACGGTATGACCTTGGAAATATGTGTTTAAATTAGTGCAGCGCTCGGAGAGGAGGCAGTCGTTAGCAGACAGCACGAATCAAACAATGAATGCAAGACAAACATTTAAGTTGCCGACGGTGTGGGAGGGGAAGCCGGTGGCGGTTATACGCCCATTCAACAGAATACATCCTGAAGAAGAAAATTGGGACGACCCATGGCCCAGAACGCATATGGGCACCACACCGCCGCATCAACCATCTGAGTCCAGAACACCTATGAACACCACACCGCAGCATCCTCCATCTGGTTCCCTAACACCCATGGACACCACACCGGTTAGCCGATATGGAGTCAGGAATCCGGCGCCGGAAGTGGCAGTGGAAGAGAATTGGGTTGATGAAGCAGGTTCTAATTCGGATCAGTTGATTCAGGTGCCCATGCAGAGAAGTATACCTCCCCAGGCATGGGTCGTGGTGCGAGACTAAGATGGATTAGGATTATACAGGAGAGGAGGTTGCGACAGGTGCAGCAGTGAAGGAAGCAGGGTTTCAGAGGGTGGAGGTATTGTTGGCAAACGGAAGCAAGGTTTAAGAGAGTGGAGACAATGTTGGTAGAAGGAAAAAGTAGTGGGGTGACTAAAAAGTGCACCAGCAAAAGTAACATGTGCAATGAAGGTGAACATATAACTATTATTCCAAAGACCGTATCCTTCAACGAAACAAAAAACAAAGTACATATCATGTATGCATGGCAATATGCATATAGAGAAGCTCGAAGAAGTAACGGGGAGATGGCAGATAGATGTAGGTTTCAAAGGCGAGTGCAACTAGTCGAAGAAGTGTTAAAAAAATACTTGACAGTAGATTATAGGCAAACAGTGTTTACAGAAAGGTTCAAAGTGTAAATTATTAAAGTGGAGGTATGTCTGTGATATGTATAAAAGTAGTAAGAAGTAGGTTTAGTAAAATTTCGAGTATGTAATGTAATGTAAAAATAGAAGGGAAGAAGCAACGCTTTGATGTATTTATAAAATAATAAAGATTGTAAGATAGGAATATTGTGTAGTGTTATGTGGCAGGAAGGGGTAAAAAATACATTAAATGATGAAACATATGTTTATTGACAAAAATTATGTCATGATGAAACAAATAAAAAACGTTAGACATCGCACACATGCAAATATCTGTTGTATGGTAAAAACACTTCGCCGGTGAAGGGGTGAGGCGGGGCTGCTCTTCAAGCTCGATTATTGGTTTGCTGGTGAAGTTTCTCAGGTAGGCTGCTTTTTCACGTCCTTTCACATAAATTCTGTCTGCCCCATCCGCAATATGTTTAATAATGTTTCCAAACTTATGTAGGGGTGTAAACCCTGAATTCCAGGAGATACCATGGTAATTATCAGTCAACCACTTCGCCTGAATCTTCAACGGTGGTGGCAGCAGATCCCAAGGAAAAGGAGCTTTGAAAATATAATGACATAACCTAACACCATCATAGGCGCAAAATTCTTTTGCGAGAAATTTATTATTTTCAATTTTAAATCCTTGAACATCCAAAACGACACTCATATTTGTAAGTTGGAGAATTTTGTATATAGAATGCGTCTTTGACAATAGGAATTGAGTGCTTCTTTCAAACTTTGCAATTTCTGATAATACTCTCTGAGAGCTTGTCTGTAGGATGATGTCATAATGAGAATGAAGGAGATTTAGTCTGAACAAAGATATTTATATTGTGATTGGTCATGATTGATTAAGCTCTATCGCTGTTTAACAATTTTGGTTAAAGGGTTGTAGGTGAAAACGCGATCGTGTAGGATGAGACAGTAAGCAGGTGTTTCCGGAGGAACATTTTCACTTGTCTCAAATTCAATTCGCATAACCACCGATCCAGATTGGATACTTTCCTTCTGTTTAGAGCAATCAATATGTGTGATAGGGGCAATAGAAAGGAAATCTTTTGGGGAAAACAGAGGTTCATTTTCACTCTCATAATAGGAGGAGCGGAGTTTTGAGTACATTTCATACAAGAGAGCAAATTTTTGGTTTTGAAAATCCAAAAAGAGATCATTATATGGGAAGCGGTCGGAGTTGAGGAAAACCCGAATATTGGTCAACTTGCAATGATCATATTGTGACATATTGGAGGTAGATACTTGTTTTTTATTAGTTTGAAAGGCTAGGATAACATGTCTAGGGGTCTCGAGCTTCGTTGTAGTTTTGACTGGCCAGGTGTGACGCGTTGTTTCAGGGAGTGATGGATACTCTACTAGTTCCCAACTGCGAAAATATAGTGGAATTTCCATGTTTTTGTTGAGAATTTTTGTAAGAGCTAGTTGCTGAGGAATGTCAACAGATACGTGGGGTACTCTCCACTGAATCTTATCAATCCGAATTTTTGGTTGTTCGGATGTAGTAGTTGCTACAACAGCATCAAGGTCATGACTACTACGGATTAATACTAACTCCTGTTTCATATTGAGGAGAATTTTTCGATAGTCTTCAAAGAATCCCATCCACATGCTTAAAGGAATACAAACATTGAACTTGCCAGACTCAGAAATAAAAGTGTCTTTTGGGAACCAGTCAGCATTTTGCAAGCGTGAACTCTCATTTTCATTAAAAGACAGATACCCTTTAAGGGTGGAGGTAAGACCAACATTTCGAACGGAATCGACTACAACTCCGTTCAGTTCATAACGGAGCTCACGGAACAGAAAAGCAAAAGCGTTATTGATTAATTGCAGAGTTGTAACAGTAGTTCCATCAGCGTTTTTAGTAGTAACAGCAGTTCCATCGGCTTTGGTTAATTCTCCTTCGAGATACAAAAGACTTTGTGACGGGAGGGTATAGGCATCTAGTTCTTGAACAGCAATGCGAATTTCATCGTTGTAGTCAAAGTTGGAATTGATAAAAGGTTGATAAGTGTGATACTCTAGTTCTGTAATAGTATTATCAACAAGAGGTTTTTGTGTAACGTTGAGAATACTCATCCTACAACACGTGAAAACCTAGATTTTCCAAAAATTTTCTATTATCGTTAGTAACTTGCAATGTTGATTGTTGTCGAAATGATCTTCTGCGTATGCTTACCACTAATAGATGGTTTCGACTGACCTCGCTTTTTATAGGGAAAAGAGATCGGAGGCGCGTAATATCTAATGCCCATTGTTACCGGATCGTAAATGAAGTCGAAGTGTAATGGTCTCGTTACGAAAATTAATTATGTGACCGTCTTGATCAACAATGTTGACGGTAATGGTTGTGATTGCTTTAACACTCACTGGGAAATATAAAATATTTTGAGGTGATTCAACGATTTTATACCCGGGCGAAACAGAGGGAAAAAATTGATGGATAATGTGGCTTGGCACACCGTTGGAATATGAGCCTGTGGCTACATTGCAAGCAACACATATTGAATTCACTTTCAAAATTTGCACAGGAAAATCAGACGTATGTCTAATGATTGGGTCAAGACGTCGAGGTTGAAATCCGAGAAGGGATGCAATGGTACCATTCTGTGAAAAATCAATCGTAAAATTGGCTTCGAGAGAAACTGTTGTAGAATTCATATGAGGTGTAATGCTAATAATTTTCCCTTCTGGGAGATTTTGATCTAAATAATCAATAATATCTCGAATTTCATATGCGCCTGTAGGAAATGTAAGTAGTTCATTGTCACATGGAAACTTATTATTAGTTTCGTCTATATTGGGAATAACATTGAAGGATTCAAAGTTGCACAACCCGATTTCATAGTCCACATTATCATCAAGATATAGCGGGGGATTAAAATGTGATTGGAGAGTGGAAGAAGTTCCCGACAGCGTAAATGTGAGGGACGTCATTACTGTAGAACGTTTGAATTGCAACTTCTGTATTAGGAGT